GCAGCAGCAGCAGCGGGAGCAGTGGGGGCGTTCCGGGTTCGTTTTTCTTGCGTTTTCCGCCGTGTGTGCGTGCACCTGCAGCAGCAGCAGCAGCAGCAGCAGCGGGGTCGTTCCGGGGTCATTTTGTCTGGTTTTTGCTGCTGCTGCTGCTGCTGCTGCTGCTGCTGCTGCAGGTGCGGGCACTGCAAGCGAATGGCCCCGGAGTACGCGAAAGCTGCGCTGCTGCTGCAGCAAAAAGGCAGCAAAGTCGTTTTGGCCAAAGTCGACGCCACAGCAGAGACGGACTTGGCCAACAAAAACGACATCAGCGAATTTCCCACTCTCACCCTCTTCCGCAACCAACGCCCCGAACAGTACACTGGCGGCCGCACAGTGAGCCATTTATTGCTATTTATTATTTATTTATTTATTTATTTATTTGTTTATTTATTTATTTATTTAATTGTTTATTTATTTAATTGTTTGTTATTTATTGTTTGTTTATTTGTTTTGTTGCATGGCGGCGTTTGCTGCTGCTGCTGCTGTTTGTCGGAGAAGTGTTTTTTTGCAGTTTTGGATTTTTCAGATTTGATTTCTTTTTTGGGTTTTTGGTGTATTATCGCCTTATATTATATATGTTTGAATTGGATTCTGTTTGAAAATAAAATTAAATTAAATTAAAATTAAATTAAATTAAATTTAAATTTTTAAATTCCGTTTTAGTTTTTAGTATTGTCCGTGTCCGTGGGGTGTACGTACACCTCACCCGCATGCGCATGCACGCTGACCAGTGGTCAGTCCAGTGGTCCCCTGGGGTCATTTTTTCCCGTTTTTTTCGAATAAGAAAATAAAACTTGAATTAAATTCGAAATAACCCAAAAAAGAACAAATAAATAAAAACTTGAGCAATAATTAATGCGTTTCAGGCGGAGGCAATAGTGGATTGGGTGGAGATGATGACGGGCCCGGCAGTGACGGAGTTGGCCAGCGAAGCCGAGCTGCTGCAGCGGGTGAGTCGGGAGTCTCCAGTGGCTTTCTTTGCGGAGTTAAATTCCGAAAAAACGGAAATGGCGAAAACGTTTTTGGCGGTGGCGAATTCGTCGCGGGCGCTGGGCAAGTTCTACTGTACGTACACCGCAGCGCCCGGCGCGGAGCGGGTCGCCGCCGTGCGCTTCGAAGAGGGGCATTTTAATTACGAAGGCGAAGTTGCAGAAGGGCCTTTAAGGGCCTTTTTGGAGACAGAATCTTTCCCTCTTTTCGGTCCAATCAACGGAGAGAACTTCCGAAAGTATATTGAGAGAGACGCGGCTCTTGTGTGGTTTTGTGGCTCCGAAAAAGACTTCGAAAACGCGAAAATGGCGCTGAGAGAAGCTGCAAAAGACTTCCGAAAAGAATTCTATTTTGTCTGGTTAGACACTGAGACCTTCAAAGGCCACGCCGAGGGCGCGCTGGGCCTCGCGGAGTTCCCGGGGCTGGTGGCGCAGACGAAGCGGGGGCGTTATTTGCTGCCAGCAGCAGCAGCAGTGCTGCAGCAGACTGCAGCAGCAGCAGCAGCAGCAGTGACGCAGTTCCTGCGGGACGTGGCAGCAGGCAAGATCGAGAGGTCCCTCAAGTCCGAGCCAGTCCCCGAGACCAACGAGGAGGCTGTGAAAGTTGTTGTTGGAAAAACTTTCGAAAAAATGGTTTTGCAAGACTCTAAAGACGTTTTTCTGGAGGTCTACGCCCCCTGGTGCGGCTACTGCAAAAACTTCGAACCTGTCTACAAGGACTTCGCCGAAAAACAGAAAAGCAATCCAAACTTGCTGGTGGCGAAGATGGACGGCACTGCCAACGAGACGCCGCTGGAGGCCTTCGAGTGGAACAGCTTTCCCACAGTCTTCTTCGTGCGCGCGGGCTCGCAGACGCCGCTCAAGTACGAGGGCGCCCGCACTGTCGACGGGCTCACCGAATTCCTCCACAAAAACGCCTCCAAGCCCTTCGCCCCCAAACCCGACAAGGGCGAGGAACTCTGAGCAGAAAAACAGAAAAAAAACGGAAAAAAACGAGCTTATTTGGGCTGCTGCTGCTGCTGCTGCTGCTGCAGCAGCTGCTGCTGCTGGGCTGCTCGCGAGTGTGCAGCGGAAGGGCTGGCTAGCTGTAGGCAGTGTTGTAAAGTCGATGGATTTGCGTGAAGAAGTGCAAAACGAACAAACTTGCGAAAAAGTCCGGCAAGAACTGCCGAGGCGCTCGCGAGAACTTTTAATCTTCTGATCGCGCGCTTTCGCGTTGTGTAGAGTGGTGGAGCGGGCTGGGGTGTACGTACACCCCGGCCGCGGCCGCGCGAGCAGCGGAAACTCGGGGAAACTCGAGGCATTTTTGTTCGTTTTCGCTCCAGTTTTTGAAATGGAAGACTTCTTCACTTCTTCTTTCCTCTTAGTGCAAAAACTCGAAAAAATTGCAACAGATCGCCCGCGATCGCGCCGCCGGCTTTCCCGAGAACGCGCCCGCGCGGCCCAGCTCCAAGAGGAAGCAGCCCAACTTG